GGTGGGGAGGTGAAGAGGAGCCGACTGCTGACAGATGAGGGCACCTCTACATCACCTATTTGCATAAGGTAAAAATATCTCGGGTATGCAGCCACAGGCCACCAAGGGGCTGATTAGCAGCATTTGCAACAGGGAGGGGGAAGGAGGAGGCTCCTCGGGCTGGGGCCCTGGGGAAGGGGGAGGGGAGCTGGGCTGTCTGCAGTTAAGAGCTCCTAAGCCTGGGAAGGGGGAGACCATCCAATCCCAGGGACGCCTGGGGACCCTCCTTCATGCACCCTACAAGGCCCAGGGAAGCAGAGAGCTTCCCTCTCAGGCTCAGCCAAGCCTTGAACCTTCAGCCTCTTGGTGACTAATGCCTCACTGCCACTGCCAGGGAGGCGAGCCAGAGACTGTGACAGGTGGACCTCAGGGCAGTGGGTGGGGATGGGGTAAGCAGAACTGGCCTCCACACGACAAGGCAAAGACGCCAATGGAGTCTGCCTGACTCTGGCAAACGCCCGCTCAGGGTGGCCAAACATCAAGTGCCAAGTAATCTGCTGGGGTGGTGGCAGACACCACCCCTGGGGCTGTGGGCCTTTTTCTTCCCCCAGTGTCCAGGAGGAAGTTTCCTGTGACCCTACTGCTGTGCTGTGACAGGCTCAGAAGGCGAGGGCATGTTGGCAAGGAAAAGACAGCATGGGGTAGGGTGCACAGGTGCATGGTACAGGTAAGGGGAGGTAGCCTGCACCCCTCAGAGCCAGGGCGTGGTTCCCAGTCTCAAAGCAGGGGGAGGGGCCGTGTTCAAGTCCCTGCTGTTCCTACCATAAGGGCTGTCCCTTACACAGGAGGAGTGAGCCAAGCAGGTGAAACTTTGTTTCTAGGGTGGGGAAACTGAGGCTCAGGGAGGTCAGTAAGTGGCAGAGTAGGGGAGGATTTGAACCAGGTCTTGGTGTCCTCCTCCTCCTCCTGCAGGGCCACTGTCCAACAGCAGGGAGGGCTCTGAAGAGGCTCTGCGGCCCCTCCCACCTGCAGCCCAGCATTGTGGAGGGGGCGCTGCTACAGGAGACCCTGCCTCTCCTGGTTCTCTTGGCCACGCCTTTCTTGAGCTCCTGGTCCCATCAGTATTTCTCTAGGGTGGTTCAGGTGAGCCTCTGGCCTCAACCAATCTCCAGGGAAACCTCCAAACCAAATCCACTGCCCTTGAGTTGATTCCAACTCATAGTGACCCTACAGGACAGAGTAGGACTGCCCCATAGGGTTTCCTGGGCTATATTTTTACAGAAGTTGTCTGCCACATGTTTCTCCTGCAGAGCAGCTAGTAGGTTCATTTCAGTTAGCAGCCGAGTGCTTAACTACTGCACCACTAGGGTTTCTTTAATGCTCAAAAAAAAAAAAAAAAAGTTGCCACTGAGTCAATTCTGGGTCATAGCGACCCCATAAAACAGAGTAGAACTGCCCCATAGGGTTTCCAAGGAGCGGCTGGTGGATTCGAACTGCCGACCTTTTGGTTAGCAGCCAAATGCTTCACCATTGCGCCCCACCCCTAAAAGGCAAAAGCAGTACTAGTCCCATTTTACAGAAAGTAAAGTTCAGAGGGTGAGGGGCCCACCTAGGGTCACATGGCTGGT